CACCTGCTGCCACCAGCCCAGCCCTCTCCCTTTCCTCCTCTACCCCTCTTCCCGCTGCTTCAGAGTGGAAAGTTTTGAAGGGTCACTTTGCTACTGAGCCCGGCCTGGAGCTAGGTGCTCTGCATAAAAAGGAATGTCACCTGCCGCCATCGTCTCGATGTTCAAGGTCTCGAGCTGGCCAGGCAGAGATTTTCAGATGCTCTATAGTCTACATGGAGTTGAAAACATAGCGAGAGATGGGTTTCTTATACACAGCCTACCCAGAGCGAGCTCTGTTTCTAGATGAACAAGACATGACAGGTTGTTTTGAAAGAGGAAGTGCCGCTTCTGGCTGCTGATGCAGCTGTCAAGGGGGAGGGAGCTGTCAAGCCCTCATCCTTGGACCCGTACCCACTACTGGAGACAGAGCCCCACCTTCCCAAGAGTCACCACCTGGACTCTATCCCTGGGCTTTCTCCTCTGTAGTTGAACCATGTAGAATGATTCTGCATGGATGGCTGGAAGTAATCAAAGATTGCTCTTTCATCCCCCAGCCTCCCATGACCCAAATAACCACACAGAAACTATATTAATTACAACACTGTTTGGCCAATAACTTAGGCAGATTCCTAGCTACCTCTTACATCTTAAATTAACCAATTTCTTTTAATATGTGTTTCACCACGAGGCTGTGGCCTACCGGCAACGTTCCAGTGTCTTTCTCTTGTGACAGCTACTTGGCATCTGCCTGGCTCTGCCTTCTTTCTCCCTGCATTCAGTTTAGTTTTCCCAGCTAGCTCCATTCTGCCCTGCCATAGGCCAGAGCAGCTTCTTTATTAACCAATGGTAACAAAACATATTCACAGCATACAGAGGGGAATCCCACATCACAGAGGACTTCTGGTCTCCCAAAAGTCCCAGCAGGACTAGTCTATGAATGCTCACCATGGTCACTATGATGGCTAATCTTTGCCAGTGTGTGTATGTGTGTGTATGCACAGATGTGCTCTTTAAGTCAGAAGTTAATATTGTGTATCTTCTTTAATGGTTCTTCCACCTCATAAAAAATATCCATTCATCTATCCATCATCTATCTGTCTGTATATCTATCTATCTATCTATCTATCTATCTATCTATCTATCTATCTAT